GGTTCTTCTCCTTTGTTTTATTTATGTAGTGGAGGACGTTGATTGTTTTTCTAATGTTGAGCCACCCTTGCATACCTGACATGAACCTCATTTGATCATAATGAATGATTTTCTTGATATGTTTTTGGAGTCTATTGTTTAGGATTTTGTTGAAGATTTTTGCATCTATATCCATGAAGGATATTGGTCTGTAGTTTTCCTTTTGAGTGATATCTTTGCCTGGTTTTGGTATCAAGGTTATGATTGCTTCATAAAATGAGATAGGGAGGATTCCATCCTCTTCTATGTTCTGGATAGATTGAATAGTTGGTGTCAATATAAGAGTAACAAGAAGAATGTTGTACCTTCCCAGTCATCTGGGTCTGGAATGTCCTTTGGGTTCCTGGCAAGTGGAGCCTGTTCTTAAGTCCCTAGAATCTGGGAGAATGCTGTCACTTTAAATATCCCAAATGGTCAAACCACTTGTAAATATTTAAAATGGCTGCACCCTCTGGAGAGGTAAAAGTCCACAGCTCAGCCTGCCTTCCTCTTCGCTGCTTCCCTATTTATTCACCAGCCACCAGAGCAGTCCTTCTTGCAGTCCCTGGATAGCAGGGCTGATTTTTAGGTTAATTCTTAGGTCTTACCACCACTTGGCAATATCCAAGCTGTCTGTGCCATCAGGATTGCTGCCATACTGCAGCTCCGTATGTCTCCTTTTTTGGTGTTTTCATGCAAATTCTTCTGCTAGTTGGAGTTTAGTCCACTTCTATATCCTTCCCTTCAAAGCTCAGGGGTCCAAGATTATTTTCTGTATCTGTGTTAATTGGTTCCCATTTTCTTTGTTGAAGAGTGTTTGTGCAGTCTTCCTGCCTATTCCACCATTTTACTGGAACTCCACAAAAAAAAATGTTTTTGTTGTTATAACTAGAGGAATATTTTTATAAAACTAATACATTTCTGCTGAAACCCTACATAAAAATCTTTTAAACAGTCATTTTGGTGTCACCCAGTGATGCTATCATCTGAGTTCTCAATTTCACCTTGCCTAGGGTACAAAACATTTTTTTAATGAAGTTTACTGAGCATGTCATTTCCAACTCATAGCAACCCCCATTGGGGTTCCAAGGCAGTGGATCTTTACAGAAATAGATCTCCCCATCTCGTTCTGTGGACCAGCTGGTAGTTTTGAACCGCTGACCTTCCATTTAGCAGTCAAGTCTCTTATCCACTGTGTCACCAGAGCTCATACTGAGCAGAGGCTCCAAATATAATGTCTAGAATGCATGAGTAAATGTTCTCAAAACCCACTCTCTCCTTGATACCTCAGTAAAATATAGCTTTATCCAAAGCTATTTTAGTTCTCTTGTGTGATCCAAATTTTCAGAGACTGCTGTTGTTTGCCAATAAAATTTCAGGCCAGATAAACCCTTTAACAGGAAATATAACCAATGTTTATCTAATTGTCACTTACCTTGGACCTCTGGAGGAGAGCAGGCTGCCTGCCTGAAGAACGTTACTGCTATCAAATGTTCTAGATCTGGTCTCCTAATCCATGAACTGGTTCCCACTAAGTGCTTGCCTCCTTCTCAGAGTCCATTGTTTCTCTTTCTGCATTTATCCCTTATGACCTCTGCTGTCATATGCCGTTTATCACTGCTAATGTGCTCACTCCTCTCCTTGGCTACCAGCACTCTCAATAGAAACCCTGCAGGATGTGAGTCCAATTTGGCCTCTGATGCCATCCTTTCTTCTGTCTTCTTTCTCCTGAGGGTGTAGGATGATTTGGCATGACTTTGGAGCTCATCATTGCCCACCTCCTCCTTGTCCTGCCTCACTTTCATTTCATCATTTTGTTCAGCTAACCTAAAAAGGACTCTCTGCTCATGAGCCATGCTTTCTAGATCTTAAATATTTTATAATCATCTCAATTGTTAATTGTCAACTTTTTCTAAGCCATTTATTCTGTTCATTTCAATGGATTGGTTAGGGCTTTTTGTTTTTCAGCAGTGTGATACATATGGATGGTGTTTTACAAGTTTATCACGTTCCAAAGCTGATGCTGGTGTTTGTTTTATTTACTATCCAAGTTTTTTGTTTTGTTTTTTTCTAAATTTCAAATTTGTACTGTTTTATATTCAATCTCTTCCTGTTTGTAATTAATCAAGGCAAGTCATTTTGAAAGCAGCTGATTTATGAGTAGCTTGGTTTTTCTCTTCTAAATGTGAAATACATTCTTATTAATTTTGTCTCCTGTCCTGTCCTCACTTCTGGAAGTTTACTGCTTCTGAGACCATGTAAAGTGACCTTACATATTCCACAGCTGACAACACCCCTCATGAACCATCATGTCTCCTAGTGTTCCCGAAGCTAATTGCCAATTTTGAGACCCCAGAGTAGTATTAGTTCTGTAAGACTGAATTCTCTCTGAGTCGGGAAATGGATTTCTCCTCAATTCAGTGTTGGTTCAGTACCCACTTTATCTGCAAATATGAGTGGACAGCCAGACACTGATGGATCTGTCCAGGGGAGACTATTAAACTCCAAGTAGGAGCTGATCTCCTCTACTCAGTTTATACTCTCCCTACCAAAGTTTTCCAAATCTCAGTCTCATGCTTCAGTCAGAGCTCAAAGTCAAGAAAAAGTGTACTTCCTTTCCCATAGCTCATCTCAAGGATATATCTCCCAACATACAATATTTTAACAAAGAAGCTCAATATTGATAGAACAGACTCCAGTCAGCTTCATCTAGATTCAGAGATTGCTGCCCTTTCCCTGATGCATAAGAACCGCACTTTAGGTGAAATCCCTCTCAATATTCTTGAAAGTAGGAATAAGATGCTAACAGCAGAAAGGAAATATCTTGGGAAAAAATAGGGTCAATATTGTAAAGAAATTCATTTACAATTATTTATTAAATAATCAACTTTTACATGTCATCAGATCTTACCCCTGAAGTGCAAAAAAAAAAAAAAAGTTTGAGGTATTAAAACTGAAGGAACATTTGCACATATTTCATAAGGTTTGCACACTATGATAATCAGAATATTCAGTATACTAAATACTATGTATAAGTGCATGTTTGAAAGAATGTAACATTAGAAAAGGAAAAAAAAACTTCATTTATCTCATAGCTATGGTTTTCTCATTACAATGAAAGGCTAGCAAAAATAATATGAGACTTAGGTGGCTTGTAAAATATGCGCTTATTCATAAAATGAGGTATATCCCCAAAACATAAAAATCAAATTGGCTTAAGTGATATGAATTAAGTTCTGACTTAATTCTTGGATCAATGGAAATTCATTCAAAATATCTGAATAGATTTACCAAAATATTTTAACATTATCCACGTACATATAAGGTCACATAAATTGCATGTTTCATTTTTTTTTTCTGTAAGATATTTTCCTTTTATAATTGGAAAGTAAATTTTTAAAGCATGTGAAATTCAGAATTTTCTCTTTAAAATCATTTTTAAATTGGGAAAAGTAAATTGATTTTATACATGATTTAAACTTTTCTGTTTTAAAGAAATTATCCAATGACTATCTATATGCCATTTCACTTTGGTGTGACTACACTTTGAAATAGTAAGTTGAGGCACTTATTATAATATCAATACTTTTTCCTGAAATATTTAGGCAAATTGAAAGGTTTTTTTTATTTGATGATGGACTTAATTATTAACTTTGAAGTATAGATACTTCATTTGAAACAAATCTAAAATTGCATAGTAATTTGCAAGTAGTGGGGGTAAGTTTCATCTTTAATGGGTCACAAATGTTGATCATAAATTAGTTTCTACAGCAACTTTTATAGTTAATGTGTCATTTTTCATTACTGTACATGCTAAGTTTTGTTGTTTGTCACTGAACTGTTTTTTTTTTTTATTCAATTGTATAGATGGTTTGAGCACAGGGAAAGTTGTAGGGGTTTTAAATGTGTGCTTATGTTTTAAGAACATAGACTTGTTAAAATGTGCCTTTTGTTTTGTTTTGTGTTTGCAAAACTGATAATGTATCTAAAGCTTCTTGAAGTTTACTGTTGGAGGAAAACACTGTTTATTATGTAATTATCATGACACTTATGAAACCTTAAGTTTCCTCTTTGTTCTAGAGGAAAAAGGAAACAAAGAGTTTGTTTAAAAAAAAACACAAGCACACTATGCTTATGTTGTGGTGACAATGTCCTCTTCCCACAACTGCAGTTTGTTTTTCATGTAATGATTCTTGAATTAAGAATAATTTTTACACAGTCATCTCACTGCTGGAAACACAGCTGTGACAGCAGCTGAATTGTTTACCTGGGTGGAGAGTTAACGTGTTGATGTTTTCACATGAACCAGAAGGAGAAAACTGATCACAATAATTTTTATCCAAATGAATAATGATGTAGGGTTCACTTTGTATCCTTTGGAGGTTAACAACTATTTCTGCTATTTGCTACCCAAATGGATGTTCCAGGTTAAAATACATTTCCCGAGAGTTCCTTTTAAAATGAATGTCATCAAGTATGGAAATCAGCCCAAAACACAGGAGGCCATAGAATGAGTAATTAAATCTCAGGTGTCCAAATTGGGCAATCCAATTAAAACAAATCCCAAAGCTGGAATTAGCTGAAATAAAAACAAAACACAACTTTTATTTTAGGACTACATATGCAAATCTAAATGCCATCACATTGGGCTTTAATGCTTAGGGGAAAAAATGCAATATTTTTTTTTCTAAATCCAACTTTTGTCTCTAAAACCAACAATCAAAAGAAAATTCAAATAAAAGGAAATATGACTGATCTTGTAAGATCTAAGTCCTGAATTTTTTTTTTTTTTTTTTTTTTTACTTATTGTTAGTTATACCCATTTGGTGCCATACAAATAGGTCTGACCACATACACAAGTGACAATAGCAGTATTATCAAAATTCTGTTGCTATCATCATGCTAATTAGCTACTCTGTGAAGTCTAACAAGCCTACACATACAAGTGCTGGCTGGCATTCAGTTCAGAGGAACACTGACTGAGTCTCACACAATATAGTCAGTGAAGGCTACTCCGGAGAGCAAGGACTTCTCATAGTCATTCAAAGACTGGGTTTCTTATGCCATTCAACACCAAACTGGTAGGTCCCTTCCTGTGTAGGAGGGCCAAAGAGCAGAGGAGAAGAGAAAAGCTCGTGACTCCCAGGATAACCATGCCTGATATCAGTGCACTTGTAATGGAGTTCAGCTGGAAAAGAGGTTCACTTGGAGAATCTGCAAGTAACGAGAGATATGTAAAGGTCCAATCAAGTTTCTCTCATTTTATCTCAACTTATACCCACAAAATATCAGCCATCAGCATCTTATAAAATAAATCATAACACTGTAGTATGATAGATCTCTTTGATTGCAATTCAGCCCAATACACAAAGAATTGCACAGCATCCCATTGATAGTTAAAAAATAAAAATAAATCATCTATTCAATGCTACAAAACTTGACAAATAGACAACATATGAATTACAAAATTGTCAGTAATTGCTATTTAAAGTATACCAAACATGTAATACCAGGATTCATTACGTATACTTGATTACAGTTTTGTAAATGATCACTAAAAATACTTCAAATGAGGAGAACATTGTACTTTTATATTAATAATATGTTATTATCTTACCAAGCTGTGAATTGTTGGTTGGAGTCTCTTCTGAAGGAGAAAAAAAAAAAAAAAAGTGATATTGTTTCTCCAAACATTTATCTTTATTTATTCTAACTTTATAATTACATTTTACCTATATCCCTCACCACGATCTCCACCCAAAATGTCCACAGGGAAGGCAATAATGCCCATTCCCTGTTTCAGTGTCTTAGGTTTCATCACCCTCCTGCTGTCCCAGGCATACAAATATAATCTCAAAATATACTGTCCTATATTTTTTCCTGCCAACTTTGCTTCATCATTATCTCTCTAGTCAGGTTAGTGGGGAGCAGTAATTGTTAACAGCTATTACATGTTTTATGGCCCTATAACACACCATTTGTTATTCTGTATATTCATTATTTAGTGCCACTCTATTTTAAGTGTTGCCAATTTGCCTATCCTAGTCTGCAAAAGCATCATTCCAAGATGATGCATTCACACTTAACAACTAAATGAAAAGAGCTCAAGTTGTAGTTCTGTTCATTATCTGTTAGGAAAAAGATTGAAGCTGTTGATTTTTCATGTTTTCCTAGAAATATAAAAAATGGGTTCAATGAATACATTAATTTGGTTTCCCAAATTTTGTTGCCCATTTTGTAAGCATATAGCTATTAACTCTTCAGTTTGTACAACTAGTGGATTCCATATATTTATGTTTATGTGTAATATGTGAACGTGAATATTGTTGGCTATTTGGACCATAAAATATGTACAGTTGACTACTTGGTTCTGGAGTATAAATACTTATGTAATTAATATGTGTGTAACACTGTACAGTTTATAAAGTGTTCTTTCATGTATCATCAATTTAATTCTGGTAATAGCCATATGGTTTAGAGAGTATCGCTACCCCCATTTTATAGATGAATAAACCTCCATCTGTCACAGCCTCCATGTAATGTAAACATATGCTTACACTAAAGCTTAGTTCCAGAGTCCTTTTGCTAAAAAAAATAAAACAAAATAAACTGCGTAATAGGGAAAATGTGTTTGATTATAGAAATAAGTAATATCTTAAGCTATGAAAATTCACAATTAATATTTGAAACAATTAGTGGGGGAACTTTGTGGGATATTGATAAAACACATCGTGTGCCATTTTTTCCCCCAGATAAATGCATCTTGGCAGAAATGCTGGTTCTGGGGTCTGACCCTGAAAGACAATGTCTAAAATTAATAAAACACCCATTCAAATAATTATTTAGAATGGTGCCATGTATTTCAATAAGACAAGGACAAAAAGAAAAATAACACATTATTATGGGACACATTTAGGAAGGTCCTAACCCCCAATTACTACCACTTTACAAAGAAACTTCATTCTTATGGAAAAGTAGAGGAGATGAATAGATTGTGACCAGTTCATCCAAAATATATGTGCGCCCCTTTTCCAAGACATGCTACCTCACCGGAACATGGGAGGAGAACATGTAGTGTACTAAATTTCCTTTTCAAAAATTACTCTTTGTTTTGAAAGAACACTTAACTAAAATGTTTAAAAAATTAAATTAAAAAAAAATCTTCTATTAAAGAATGTAACAGAAAATCATAAGGGCATGACATTATGATTGAATTCTCCCAAAACTTCCCTGTAAGGGACAAAACACCCCAATTTTAAAATGAGTCATACCAGCTCCAAGTCCTGGACTCTGACAAAATTGGCAATATCCTATCTTTGGAGAATGGCTGAAATAAAACTGTTGGTAATATTTGAATATTATTTGAAATTTTATTTGATGAAGGATAAAAGTAGAAACCACTACTCATCTCACTTGTTTGTACGATGATGGCTTGCATGTTGCTGTGAGGCTATGTCACCAGTATTTCAAATACCAGCAGGGTCACCCATGGTGGACAGGTTTCAGTGGAGCTTCCAGATAAGACAGACTCAGAAGAAAGACAGGACCATCCATTTCTGAGAAAAATGGCAACTGAAAACTTTAAGAATAGCAGTGAAACACTGTCAGATCTCTGATGGGAAAACATGATGAAGGGCCATGAAACATCTGATACAGTGCCAGAAGATGAACCTCTCAGGTTGGAAGGCACTCAAAATACAGCTGGGGAAGAGTTGCCTCCCAAAAGTAATGTCATCCTTAATGAAGTGGATAGAGTAAAGCTTTCAGGACCTTCATTTGCTGGTGGGGCACTATGCAAAAGTAGAAGAAACAGCTGCAAACATTCATTAATAATTGGAACATGGAATGTACAAAGTATGAATCTAGGAAAATTGGAAGTTGTCAAAAATTAAATAGAATGGATAAAGATCTATATCCTATGCATTAGTGAGCTGAAATGAACCAGTATTGGCCATTGTGATTGAGACAATCATATATACTATGCCAGTAATGGCAAATTGAAGAGGAATGGTGGTACATTCATCATCAAAAAGTACATCTCAAGATCTATTCTAAAGTGCAATGTAGTGATGGTATTATATCCATAAGCTTACAAGGAATACCAGTTAATACTACTATTATTCAAGTTTATACACAAACTACTAAAGCCAAAGATGAAGAAATTGAAGACTTTTACTAACTTTTGCAGTGTGAAATTTGCTGAACATGCAATCAAGATGAATTGATAATTACTGGTGATTAGAATGTGAAAGTTGGTAACGAAGAAGAATCATCAGTATTTGGAAAATATGGCCTTGGTGAAAGACATCACACTGGAGATTGCATAATAGAATTTTGCAAGACCAATGACTTATTCACTTTAAATGCCTTTTTTCAACAACATAAATGGTGGCTATCAATGTGGACCTCACCAGAGGAAATACACAGAAATGAGATCAACTACACATGTGGGAAGAGACAATGGAGAAACTCAATATCATCCATCAAAGCAAGGCTAGGAGCTGGCTGGAACAGATCATCAAATGCTGATATGCAAGTTTAAATTGAAGCTAAAGAAAATTAAAATAAGTCCAACAGAGCCAAAATATGACCTTGATTATATTCCATCTGAATTTAGAGACCATCTGAAGAACAGACTTGATGCAATGAATGCCAATAACTGAAGACCAGAGGAGCTGTGGGATGATATCAAAAACATCATACATGAAGAAAACAAAAAGTCTTTAAAAAGACAGGAAACGATGAAAAGTCCAAAGTGGATGACAGAAAAGACTCTGAAACTTGCTCTTGAACGTCAAGGAGCTACAGCAGATGCAAGAAATGCTGATATAAGAACTGAACAGAAGATTTCAAAAGGCAGTTCGAGAAGACAAAGTAAAGTATTATAATGAAATGTGCAAGGACCTGGAGTTAGAAACCCAAAAGGGAAGAACATGCTTAGCATTTCTCAAGCCGAAAGAAATAAAGAAAAAAAAAAAATCAAGCCTTGAGTTACAATCTTGAAAGACACCATGGGAAATATATTGAATGATGCAGGAAGCATCAAAAGAAGACGGAAAGAATACACAGAGTTACTGTACCAAAAAAAATGGTCAATGTACAACTATTTCAAGTAGTAGCATATGATCAAGAACCAATGTTACTGAAGAAAGAAGCTGAGGCTGGACTAAAGAATTGGCAAAAAACTAAGGTCCAGGATTTAACAGAATACCCATTGATTGAGATGTTTCATCAAAAGGATGCTACATTGGAAGTGCTTACTTGTTTATGTCAAGAAATTTAGAAGACAGATACCTGGTCAACTGTCTGAAAGGGATCCATATTTGTGCCCATTCCAATGATGGTGATCCATCAGAATGTGGAAATTATTGAACAATATCATTGATATAACACACAAGTAAAATTTTGCTGAAGACAATTCAAAAATGAGTCCAGCAGTATATTGAGAAGGAACTTCCATAAATTAAAGCCAGATTCAGAAGAGGATGTGGAATGAGGGATATCATTGCTGATGTCAGATGGATCTTGGCTCAAAGCAAAGAGTATCAGAAAGATGTCTACCTGTGCTTTATTGACTATGCAAAGGAATTCTACTGTATGGATCATAATAAATTAAGGATAACATTGCAAAGAATGAGAATCCCAGAATGCTTAAATGTTCTCATGAGGAACCTGTACATAGACTAAGAAACTGTCATTCAAACAGAACAAGAGGATACTTCATAGTTTAAAATCAGGAACGGTGTGTGTCAGGATTGTATCTTTTCACCATACTTATTCAATCAGTATGCTGAGCAAATAGCACAAGAAAACGGACTATATGAAGACGTAAAAGGCATCAGGATTGGAGGAAGAACCATTAACAACCTGCAATATGCAGACAACACAACATTGCTGCTGAAAGTGAAGATGAATTGAAGCACTTACTGATGAAGATCAAAGACTACAATCTTCAATATGGATTACATTTCAACATAAAGAAAATGAAAATCCTCACAACTGGAGCAATAAGCAACATCATGATAAATTATGAAAAGTTTGTAGTTGTCAGGAATTTCATTTTACTTGATCCATAGTCAACACCCTTGGAAGCAGCAGTCAGGAAATCAGACATCCTATTGTACTGGGAAACTGTTGAAAAAGACCTCTTTATCATGTTAAGAAGAAAAGATGTCACTTTGAAGACTAAAGTGTGCATGACCCAAGCCATCGTATTTTCAATCATCTCATATATGTATGAAAGCTGGACAAAAGATAAGGAAAACCAAAGAAGAATTGATGTCTTTGAATTGTGGTGTTGTCAAAGAATACTGCAAATACCATGGACTGCGAGAAGAATGAACAAATTTGTCCTGGAAGAAGTGCAACTGGAATGTTCTTGGAAGTGAGAATGGCCAGACTTCATCTCATCCACTTTGGTTATGTTGTCAGAAGAGACTATTCCCTGAACAAAGATCAGGGTCAGTAAAGAAGGGCAAAACCCTCAATGAGATGGATTGACATAGCTGATGCACTAATGGCCTCAAGCATAGCAAAGATTGTGAGGATGGCACAGGACCAAGTAGTATTTTGTTCTATTGTACATTTGGACGCTATGAGTCAGAGCTGACTCAATGGCACCTAACAAAAACAACAAAGGTAGAGAGAAAAACAATTATCTCTTTGCTGTTTCTGGTAACCTGCCATTTTCATATCACTGGAATTAAAAAAAAAAAAAAAAAAAAAACCTAATCAAAGTACTGTCATACTGTCTAGCCCAGAAAAGAGAAGTTGATATTTTCTAGGTATTGGTCATGACACACTCCTGTTTCCCTCACCCCCACTAACTCCTAACATATGCATGATATGCTAGAAAAAGCAAATGGCACTTTCTGGAATGAAATTGTAACACTATACTTGATGTGTTCTCCAAAAATATACGTAGCGTAGCCACTCCTCGGAAGGAAGGTTGGGCAATCCTACTTTCGTAGTGATACTGCCTCGGAAACCCAAGGAGGGGTCGCTATGAGTCGGGGCCGACTCGACGGCACATAACAACAACAACAACAAGCTCCTCCATAGGAGAAAGGCAATGGCAGCAATTCCCTAGTCATTTGAAAGGCAGAAATGGCAGATAAATTTTCCTTCTCTGCTTTCCCTTCATATATAAGTATTTTAAAAGAATAGAAAAGAAAATTACCAACATAATGCAAAAGTATATGCAGAAAAAATATTTTGTCTTTCTTAGCAAAAGCAAAAGCATGCCATTAAAAATATATCCTTAACTACCTGTGTGCTAAAATGGGCCATATATTTCAAGTTAAGAACCTCCAAATTTTTACTTTCTATTGTACATTTTCCCACGTTTGTTAATAATCTATCTCTATCTCTAGATTTCTAAGATCTCATGGCCTGTTGTTTATTTTATTCTAGTTCCACTGGTAGACTATCTCTGTAGGGGCTAAATAAATGTTTAATGAATTGCTAATTATTTGTGAAGCTAAATGGTACTGGTTTGGCTTGGGTTTCTCCATAGGAATTTAAATAAACAAAACAATTAGATGTTATTGCATTGCCAGTGTTTGCACATTTAAATTTCTAGAACCGTACCCTATGATAAGTATGTCCCAATCTAAGTAGTTTTAGCATTTGGGAGTTTTAATAAAGAATACTTAAAGAATTTTCAGGATTTTGGACTTGGAGATGTGAAAAAATATCCCAAAATCAACTACAAAAAGGATTAAGATAATTAAAAATAAACATAATGGAGTTGATTTCATTAAAAACAAATCAGGAAACTAAACAACAGCAAAAAATAGATGTTTCTAGGTTTAACAACTTAATGGACTCGATATAAGTCAGGTGTCTAAGGGAAAGAGATGGTTCAAAGAGTAAGCAGAACAGTGTTCCAATTATCAGAGTGGTTTGAAGAATGTTAATCAAGCCTGAAATTAGACTGGTTTCTATAAAATTGGCCATAAGGACTTGGAGAGAGAAATTCTAGCTGACCTAAGATAGCAACTATGTGAAACTGAGGAAAGAATGTAGCCCTTGTTATCAATTTGCACATTAAATTTACATGGGATTTGCCTGGGGATAGATATGACTTTTTGAGTTCTGGGAATCCTCATATTGTGTTAGGTTGAACCATAGGAACTTGCCTATTTCACGAGTCAGAATCAGCAGTTTCGTATTGTTTAATCTACTATTAAAGCAGTTCTTGAACTCTAGCCTCTCAACTAGAAGCGGGAGGGCCTGGGTTAAAGTAATAATAGTATTAATGGCCAATATTAATGAAGTGTTTTTTAATGACAGAAGCTCTTCCAAGTGTTATATTGATTATCTGGTTTAACCTACAGATATCGGAACCGTTAGTGTTCCCATTTTACAGGATAAGTTTCCACAACCCAGAGACACTAGTTTTATGGGGAGCTGACTGGCAAGAATTGTATAGATTTCACTTTTCTGTACCTTCTCATCTCTTGACAGAATTACCCACTGACCAATCTCAACCAGAAACTAGATGGCAAGGGATCTGGTCGATGCATATAGGTAAGTTATTGGGACAAGGAAGAACAAAGATTGGATCCAAGGGTGAAAGGAAATACATCCTTTGCTCTGTGTGTGTGTGTGTGTGTGTGTGTGTGAAGCGAAATGTGATTAAGATGAGACTATTGCCCTTTGTGTGAAAGTTGAATAAATAGGAAATTACTGTGAAATTAAAGTTGCTTAGCTGTTTATTTTGTCTCATAGTTAATTAGTGCTGTAGTGCTGTTTAGGAACGATTTTGAGTTCTCGTTAGAAGCCAAGTGGCAAGCCATTTTGGAAATGTCTTTTACTACATGCAAAAGCAAAAAGAACTCCTACCACTCCGAGTAATGATGGGACCAGCTGAGAGGACCGTGTTTCCAGAAGTGCTCTGAGGGCTCGAAGTTGTCCTCCTCCCCGCATCTCTCCTTTCTCTGTGGCCACAAATCTGAGGTGTTAATGAAAACAAATGAAACTCCACACCGGCACAAAATTGGTTCTTTATGGCCATTTGGAAAGCAGATTCTTTTGGAAGAGATACCACATGTTTAATTTTATTCATTTCCTTCTGTGCATTTATTTAATTACTTTGCATATAACTGCTACTGTGTTTCTTATCCTGGCTTGGGCTATGTTTCTTATTTCCGCCTGCTGTAATTGTGCTTTGCCTCATTAATTTACATCGTTCAATGGCTCTCCTGAAAAAGAGCTGTGTTTATCAAACTTTTCTACTTTTATTTCTCTCAAGCCTTTAATAAATCCTTCCTTGAAATGTTAGTAAGCACAGAGCCAATATAATGTGGAATTTCTGCTTAACCCAATCTATATAGCTGGTTAGCACAAAAGTAATCAGTGAATGGAAAGATATAGCTAGCTCCCCACTTATGCATGAATCAAGAATATATGTAAAGATATTACAGCTATTTTCAGTTTTACAAACACATACTTGCATTTCTCTCAGGTTAATATTGATGTGAGCTCAAGGGGGTCTATTAGAATTAGAATTTGTTTTTGGTTCCCTACTAAATAAGTCTGTATTTTAATGGGGGCTGTATGCAGTTGAAGGTCTCTAGGCGATGTAATGGTTTTCACTCCGCTGCTAATCTCAAGGGAGCTCTGGTAGCATAGTGGCTAAGACACTTGCCTGCTAACCAGACGGCTGGCGGTTCAAACCCACCAGCCACTCCTCGGAAGGAAGGTTGGGCAATCCTACTTCCGTAGTGATACTGCCTCGGAAACCCAAGGAGGGGTCGCTATGAGTCGGGTTTGACTCAACAGCACATAACAACAACAACAACAAGCTAATCTCAAAGTTAGTGGTTCAAGCCTATCCAGTGGTATAATGGAAGAAATGCCTAGATGATCTGCTTCTGTTAAGATTCTGCCAAGAAAACCCAACAGAGCAGTTTTACTCCGCAACACACAGGGTCACCATGACTCCAATCACCTTGAAGGCATCAGGGTTGGATTTTGATTTTGATTTGTAATCGAGAACAATATCTTTCATAGTTTAACACTGAGAAATTCCAAGGGATTCCTGGATCATTTGGCCCCAATCCACTTTTGTAGCACCATCATGGAACCCTCTCAAGATCTTCCTATTATTTTCTGCTGTGTTCCAATTTTACTGAAGGCCTGGAAGTTCTCTAATCACCGTGTTTTATGTGTCTGTGACTCTGAGGTAGATTAGTCTTTATACCCTCAGTTTTGTCTTTGTGGGGCTCATCCATCTTTAAGGTCACAGATAAAAGTTAATCCCTTCTACCAGTCCTCCCAAGATCTCCTTCTATCTCTTTTGCAATGAATATATATGGATATG